GGGTCCCGGCCGGGTCCCGGCCCACCGCACCTTGGCCAACCAAGCGGCTGAGGCCAACTCCCAAGCCCCCCGGCGTCCCCCGGGCCGCCACGAGGCCACCCCCTCATCCCCTCCTCCCACGACGCCTCCCGAGTCGCCCACAGCCTCGCATGAAAAGTATCACGGCGCCGACCGTGAATAGGCAGAGCATCGCTTTGCAAAAACTCGCCTCTCTCGGCGGCATTTATAGCAGATTTGGACGATTTTCCGGCCCGTAAGCGAGTAGGCAACCCTTGAGAAAGTACCTGCAAATGTGTACGCGGCTATGGGTGAGTTCCGTCTTGAGAAAAGGGCCCTATAACAGGGGAAAAAACTGAACCGTCGTAGATCCGATCCGATAAAGAGGGAATACTTGCGATACTTTTTTTTTTCTTTCGATGGAGGTGTCTGTCAGTTTTATTTTGCCCCTCCCCCGCTTTACGTTGGCGCGTCCCCTTTCCCTTTCCCTGGTCCGTTTCACTATGCCGTTGCCGTTGTTGCTTCTGCCTGGCGCTGGTGGGACGCTCTCTGCCCCGCCCACTCGAATCTGATCTGCCCTGACAGGCTCAGGGGGTTGGGGGGGGGGGGGGGGAATGCTCATGTGTGGCCGGCGGCCAAGTGCAGCGGAGGCCTGTCCAGCACGGCTGACGCGGACGTGCCTTGCACTGCAAAGGGAAACTAATAAAATGTGCGACACATCTGGAGTGCCGCGTTAAGTATTCCAGGTGGCGCACGCTTCAAGGCGCTTCAAGGGTTCCGCTTCCGCTGGCTGTCCTCATGATTGTAGCGTGTTAGTCCGGGTTGCGATGGTTGGTTAGTGTCGGGCTGTCCCTCTAGTTGGGCTGTCCTCGGCTGTCCTCGAGTCCCGCTGTCCTTTCCGCTGGTCTGTCCACGAGTTGATCTGTCCTCGGCTGTCCTCGGGCTGCACGGGAGGATGACTATCTATAGCGCGGAGAGACGTGCCGCCCGCGGCCGATATGTCGCGGGGTCGTTCAAATGAAAGGGTAGAGAGACGACGTGAACAGGGGCTCCATGGCGCCGTCAAAGAGGGGGATGACGCTGCTGCTGGCGGAGAGGACAAAACTATGTGGAGCAGGTAGGGCGGTTATGGAGGGGGGGGGGG